TAAATTATTATTGATATTAATAAAAACTATAAAATTCCATAAATTTTCAAACTAATGGATAATGGCTAAGAAAAAAGTTTGGTCGCTGAATTTAGTTTCCAATTATAAAGAAAATTAAAGAATAAGATTTGAACCTTTTTTTTTCATCCAATATAATATTAAAAAAGCTAAAAAAATTGAATTAATCAAATTAATTAAATTAAATTAAAAAAACGCACCCGCAGGATGAACCCTTCGAGGTGAAATTGAACATAACAAATCAATGGCTTTCTCATCAGATATCCAACCATACATTCGGCGAAACGCTTCGCGACCTTTATCAGTTAATTTATTCCAATGACGAGGCTTCGATAAAAGTTCACTTAGCGATCCTTGAGACTATAATTTTTTTTAAAAAAAAAAACTAAAAAATTAAAAAATCAATTAATTAATTTAAATAATAAAATAGGAAAAAGAACAAAGATAACTAATACAACAATTTTTGGCTAATAAAAGGTAGTGGAAAATGAAAAATCTTGGCTATTTTAAATATTTTATTAATTTATTTGAGAAAATTATCCAAAAAAAGAAAAAAAACGGAAGCGAAGCGCACAAACATATACAAGCATAGCGAATTTTAAGAAATACCTTGACTACCTGATTCATGACGTATTTCGCGAAGAGTCGTTGTCCAATATTGTAAGTGACCATCAATCGTTTACACTGACGCGCTATTTCCACGGTATTTAATGCTCGCGAACCCAATTTTTGTACATTTTGTACCACACGCGACTAAAATACGCTAATTGACGTTAAATTCACGTTAAATTATTAATATTCATTTTTATCAAAATTCTTCGTCAAAAAAAATTTTTTTTCAATAATTTTCTTAATCGACCAAAGCAAATTTTAGAAAAATTTTTAGAAAAATTTATTTAATAATAAAAATTCCAATTCAATTAATTTTCCATAAAATAATTACTTGTAATTCATTGAAAATTTTTGATTCATTTGGTGATTTTGGCATATCATTAATATTAAATGTGGATAAATTACAATTATCGGAAATATGATCAGACGATGGACACTAAAAAATACTTACTTTTAATGAATTTAAACCATTAAAAAATAATTTGAAACATATCATTTGAAAGATAACAGCATCAATGATAAAAAAAATTAACCATCAAAAGTTTGAGCAAATCATTTGCACATTTTTGCGTCGCTTCATCGATATTATCAATATCCTGATAAGCTTTTGTCATTCGTATAAGCTGAAAATATTTCTTTAAAAAACAATATAAAATACAAAAATTCTTATTATAATTTTATAAAGTAAAACAATAAATAATAATGATATTAATAATAAAGAAAAAAGTAAAAAAATTTTTTTAGGAACTCTCATCATTACTGATTAAAACTCGCTCAGTTGGTTCGTCTACGTATTAGACAAACATCATCAAGGAGTCCATTAAAGATAGAAGAAATAAAGGTAATTCGATAGCACCACTCGGATCACAGGTTTACTCCAGTGGGCATAAAAATTTTAGCGTCGCCGCTTCAAATTGTACAAAAACCCACTAAGCCATTCTATTAGCAAATTTAGCAAATAAAATAAAAATTAAGATATTGCAACAACACCTCTTCTTGTGTAGCCTCATAATTACTTATATCGTCCGATTGGCCTTCTGAATTCATAAATAAACCGAATGCATCGAGAACGGATTGCAATCGTTCAGCAGTATCGACAACAGTCGACTCATCATTCTTTTCACCTTCTAAAATACTCATAAAACCAATGAAAGAGGTGCCATTAAAAAAAAAAAAGATAAAATTATAAATAAAATTATAAAATTTTTAAATATATGCATACGGCACCTCTCTCTTCCATATATTAACAACACAATGCAAATAAATGCAAATTTGCAAGAAATGCAAGTTGCATGCAAAATAAAACAAGACAAAACACTAGGAATATTCATTGAAAAGAGAAATAAATATGAACATGCATTTGAATTATTGGATGCTATCAAAATAGTAATTTTCTTTTACAATATAATGATAAAAATGATAAAAATAAACAAACAATAAACACAATGACACAAAATGATAACAAAAGCAAATAGTGATAAGCATAAAACTGACAAATTTTTAAAAAAAAAATTATAGCATAAATTACATGCATGCATACATAATAAGTTTACGCTAATAAATTTGAAGTTTTTTTTTGAAAGAAAAATCTACTGAAAAAATTTAAAATGAATATCAAGCAAACATCGATAACCTTCTAGTTCGTGAACTTTCATTCGTTGTTCAACATTCTCGTTTTGTAGTTTACGATTTTTATCGATAAGTAATTCATCAAGCGCTTTAAGGTGACCACCTAAATGAACCTCAGCGGTTGCTGTTGCAGCAGATGTTAACTGATCGATAGATTCGCGTTCATTTGTCCAAATTTCTTCGCCAAATTCAACATTACGCAAAATCCTTGAAAAAATTTTGAACTAAATTATTATTTATTTCATTTAATTAATTATTTAATTTGAATTATGTAATTTAAATTATTTAAATTTTTATTTAATTATTCAATAAAAATAAATTTAATTATTATTTTAACTAAATTAAATAATTATTTATTTTTCAATTTATTAAATATTCGAAATAAAAAAATAGCAATTCGTCTTTAATCGCCAATAAAATAATTGATAATGGCAAATAAATATCACAATAACTTTCAGTAAGTGGGAATATGCGAAACTCAGATGGTGCTGATAAATTATCAGTGATTAGAAAATATCGAAAACATCTCATCGTACTAGTAGCCGCTAACCAAGTCAAAAAATGCTTAATGGCCCATATTTTCAAATATTTAGAAAAATATTTAATATCAAATAAATATTTTTAACGATAAATTAATGTTGGCAATAGTATATTAAATAATAGTGATAGATTATAATGACAACTGTAATAATAAAGATAATAATAATATCGACATCAATAACAATAATAACAGTAATAATAATAATAATGATAATAAAGGGAATAATTAATAATTAATGAAATAATTGATGTTTGATCCTTTCACCGCAGAATCAAATCAATTTGAGGACAGAGGTGCAGGTGGGTACTTAGCCACCGTTCCGTTTTTAATGACAGGTTTACTCGTATCAAGACAAGCAAGGAAATAATTTTATGACTACAAATTACTTAATTATTAGTTATTAAGAAAAAAACAAAAAAATAATTTTTAAGATAGTGTTCAAATTTTTATTATTATTTAATTACTATTCGAATTATTTAAAAGAAGAAAAATATTTTTAAAAGAATGGAAAAGGAAAAGAAAAGAACAGGATGTATACAGGATATTTTGTATATTTTGAAGCGACAATCAAAGTAATATGAACCAATAAAATGTTCCAAGAAAAATAAAAATGAAAATTCCCTTAAAGACGGTTAGTAGAAAATTTTGAAATCTAATGAACCATTCAAAAGCGCAGATAAGACCGAAAAATTTTTGGAGCTATACAACTGCAATTGCAAACCAAATCAAGCTTGAAACAATCAATCTCTTGAAAAAACTTAAGGTTAAGAGAAAAAAAATGGTCTTCTAGCTGAACTCATTCTCAAGCTCATTCGTTATCCTTCACAATTCACCTACATTCACTAGTATGCTAGAAGAAGCAAATACCACCTCTGACCAAGAGTAAGATAATCCTGCTGTCAATTCTGTGATACTAAGTGATACCAAGAAATCAACTTATATTTCTGGAGAAATATTTTCTTTCTTATGCATGACTTCTAGCTAATCAATCTAGATTTAGAGAGTGTTTGCTGACCAAATTGGAAAAATGTCGATCTCGAAAAATAGTTTTTATCGCCAATCGGCATAAATATTAAATATTAAAATATTAAATATTAATAATAGTAAATATTAAAAAAGCAATATTTAATAACAATAACGATAATTAATAATAATAATGATAATGATATTAATTATTAATTATTATGACTATAATGTGATGAAAGAAACCTTAGTTCTCGTTTAATATCTTCATAATCCGATTGAGCCTTCAATTGAATCTCCAACCGATTAACTAAATCTACGTGATGCTGAAGCTCTTGCGTGAGTTCTTCGATTCGTAAACGAGATTCCAAAGCTTGTTCAGCTAGTTTCGCTGAGAGAATTTTATTTTCTTCGATTAATTTTTGCACCTTAAAAATTTATTCAAAAAATAAAGAATAAAAAAAATATAAAGAAAAAATAAGAAAAAAAAATTAACAAACTTGACGATCTTTTGTTTGAATTAAAGTTGATTCATAAATATTATTATTTTCCTGCATCGTTGTATTATCATTTTTTAAACGATTTAATTCATTAGAAAGTCGAATAATTTCTTTTTCAGCTTCGTCCTAAAAAAAAAAATTATATTTATAAATAACAATTTTTTTTCAAAAGTTAGAATGGCTCAACGTATTGCGCGAGGTACCCATGCTAAAGTTTCTACTTCAAGCGAAAACAAGCGTAAATCTATTTTTCAAAAATTCGGATGACAATGATCATTCTCATCTGTATTTCTATCATCAATTGCCTCCTCCACTAGCAAAAATTATTTAGCCTAAAAAGTAAAATACATAGCAGTCCAAATAGAAATGGACATTTTTAGAAAAGAAAAAAATTTTTATCACTCGTATCACTCAAAAAATGATATCGAAATTTTAAAGAGATTTTAAAATCAGAAAGAATTTTATGCTAAATATGAATTAAATATGAATTAAAAATAAAAAAAAGAACATAAAACTAACGACTCGTTTTACTGCAATTTCTAAATCATTCGTAGCAATCATTAACTGTTCTTCTTCAATCATTTCTTTTTGTTGAAATTTTAATTTCATTCCTTCCAAATTTTGTGCTATTTCATGATTTTTTTTCTAAAATCTTTTATCTTATCGTTATCAGTTATCGTTTTTAATTTAAATTTTAGTAATTTTGAAATTTTTTTAAAAATTTTCATGAATATTCCATGAAGAAAATAAATAAATATTAGAAAAAACCTGCAAATCATCAATCGTATTATGAAGTTGCTTCTTTTCTTCACTAAATTCTTCAAATTTCTCATTCATTTCAATTTTCATTATATTTATTTCCTCTTGAAATTCTTCCTCTTTTTTCGATAGTAATTGCTTAAAAAAATAATAAAATATTTTTTAAATTAATAGAAAGTGGAATAGTTCAGTTGGTCTAATTTCGAAGCACCAAATACCAATTCTATTCTATTCTATTCCTGGATCCTGGTGCTATCGATCCAAATATACTTCTATCACTGAATGATTTTTCTTTAGCAAAGTTTATTTGGTCCAGCGGTGTATGCCTAACTCGAAATATTAGACTTTAAATAAATAAAAATAATTTTATCATTATATTTTTACAAATTCGAATGAAATTGAGAAAAGTTTTTTCCGGTTTTGGCTATTCGCAAAATTCGTTTTATAAGCAAATAATTCGTTTAATGTTGCTATTATGCCAAGCAATGATGAATTAAATGATAAAATAAGAATGGAATTATTGAATTTTATTCTTCCATTGAAATATTGAAATAAAAGAAAATAATTTTTTCTTAGAAATCGAATTTAGATAAGTAAAATCGAATGTTCACAAATTTTTACTACTTTTTTATAGAAGAAAAAAAAATTTGGGAAAGGAAATTTTTTTCTAAAAATATTTCCTTTTTTTCGTGTTTTCTTTTAAAATTTATGTCTAATTTTATTTAATTATAAATAAATAAAATAAATTAAATCAATTCGATAAAATTTTATTTTTTATCGGATAATTAAAAAACTGAATTGAAAAAAAATTAAAAATTATAAAAAAAGAAAATTACTAAAGAAAATTTTAAACAATTTTACTTGAGTTATTTCATTTGATTCTTTTAATTTTTCACGTAATTCACGAAGCGTTACTTCTGAAAAGCAAAAAAATTTTTTAGGTAATTTTTTTATTTTTGGTTGAATTAAATTAATTTTCTAAACATTTTTAGCAAATTTACAATAAAGAAAAATTGATTTTCAAACAATTAAAATTAAAGAAAAATATAATTAAAATGATTAAAATAAAAATAAATCTCTATAATCTCTCTAATGAGGATTTATTTTTCAACGGTAAAAATTAACTTTTTAACTTATATTTTATTTATATGTTAGGTGGATTTGATTATATTTAAGATAGTTGACACATAATAAGTTAACAATATGATGGATGGCGTCAAAAGCTGAGAGAAACAATGAAAATCTGGATTGACATAAGAAGAAATTTTGGATATATAGGCGAACCAGCGATATACAGGCTTAGATAGTGGAAAATGAAGAGATTTCTCTTAATCTCAGTTATAGCACCGAATCGAGAGGCTGGTTTGGGGGCCTATTCTTGTAGACAATGGAACTAGCTAAATCAGTAATGATGAGAGCTATTAGAAGAAATTAACAGTTTTTTCTAAGTAAAGCAATGAAGAGTAATATAATATTTTATAAAATATAAAATATTTTAAATTTTAAGATTTTATATATGAATATATTAATATATTAATTTTTATATATTTTATATTTTGAAGTTATTAAAATAAAACATTTCAAAATACAAAAGTAATTTTATGATTAATTTTTTAAATTTTCTACTTAAATCTAATTTAAATTGTTTTCTATTATTTAGTAGATTGTAAAAAAAATTCTATTCAATTGTTTAAAGATAAACTACGAAAATAATTTTAATTAATGATTTGATTTATTCTTTTTACTTTAAAAAACAATTGTAGAATATAAAAATAAATTATTAGAAAAATAATAATAAAAAATAATAAAAATAATAAACAATAATAGAAAAACAATAAAATAATAAAAATAATAATATTAGTCACTCATTTTGAAGCATTGATGTAGAGGTCCTATTATCGGCAGAAGAAACTTGTCTTAAACTTGCTTTTTAAAAAAATCAAGGCCTATCGACTCACCTACTTCACCCGACAAAATCTGACTATTCCGATAGACCTAATTCAGGAAAGATTTTAATATTTTATAATAGTAAAAAGTAATAATACAGTAATAAAGTAATTTTTATAAGTATGATAGAACGGCACAATGGATTGTATCTCATTTCGGAGAGGCAATACTGAGTTTTATTTCCCGCAGGAGTGAACCTATCCAAAAATCCGGGTGATTCTGGCGGTTCATTTGTATTTCTATCGCCAAGGGACTCCCTGGCATATTGTCCAATGCGACAAGCCAATGGAGCGAATTTAATTAGTAATGATGAGGACTCTTAAAAAAATAATAAATAATAATAATAAATAATAAGCAAGATATTAAGAGAAAATAATGCAAGAAAACGTCATGAAAAAAAAAAAAAACAATAATCTTAAAATCAAAGTTCGAAAAAAGACAAAATATTGCAGAAAAATAAAATAAAATATTGCGGAATTTTTTATTAAATTTGCAAGATTATATTTTAAAGAAAATTTATGTGAAAATAATCCGAAAAAAATCATGCAAAAAAACGAAAATCACTGAACGAAATCCATCATATCAGTTTTATAAAAATATTTCGATTTTTCAACATTTTAAATTTTTTTTCAAAAATTCAAAAAATCGAATGAAACATATAGAAGAAAATAAAAAAAAAAGATAGAAAAGTGGAATAGTAACAATGGATTTCGATTATTAATGGGAAGAAAAAACCATCGCTAAAAATACATGTTGTGATTGGACGATTCATTAGTACTTTTATCTGTTCCATTCTCTAAAGAAGGAGACTTGGTAATGAATGGAACCAATGGAATCAGTGGAACCAGTAGAAATGGTAAAAAATATTGTTAAAAAGATAGAGTGAATATGAATAAATATGAAATGAACAAACCTTGATTATGTAAATCGCTATACTCGGATTGTAGATCATTTAAATGACATCGAAGTGTAATTAATTCTTCTTCATATAAATTTAATTTATCTAATTTCGGTAAAATTATTTCTAATTCTTCAAGAAATGGCGATGGATCTAAAATTATTCAATAATTAATAATTATGAATCGAAAAATAATTGCTAAATTTTTTATTCGTTAATAAATATCTGTAAATAATGATAATTACAAATGAAATATCAATAAATATTATGTAAATGAGTTATCAATAGATATTATCAATAAGGATGGCGATGATAGCGATTCAACTATTTCTTTTATAATTAGGTGTATTCCATAGCAAAATTTTTGTTTAAACCAACAAAAAGTCGAGTAAACCCAATCAAAAATGGTAAGTACTTATCGAAAAAACAAATAAGGAAGATGATTTTCTTCGTGCTCGAATTCGAGAAAATTTTCATATCATTAGGAGCCATTAATAAAGTACCAATATTTCAATTTAAAATCCATTTTTATCAAAAAAAGTTGAACGAGTAGGAAACGATACGATCAAAACAAAACGACTCTTACAAACACAGGTTTACTTCAACAAATTTCAGGTCTGCTACTGCATCGGAAGGCTACGAAGAAACTTTTCCATCATAAGATCACTAGGACAAAAGAAAAATTTCAAAAATACATGACAATATAAAAGGAAAATTTGAAGAGGAATGAGGATTTGGAAGGAAAACTTGAAAATACTGATTATTTAAGATAAAAATTACTTTTATTACGAAATAATATTAAATCATTTACCGAATTCTATCAAAATTACAAAACAAAATTTTCGCTGGTTCAGTGGATTGTTGCTCTCATTTGGGAGTGTCGAGATAAGAGTTCTATTCTCCATAGTAACAAATCTATCTTTCAAAAATCTAGATAATGCTTATAATTCACCTATAATTCTCTAAGCCTAAGTATTTCTCTGAGAAAATTCGCCTAAGCCAATGTAATAAGCCTAATCGGAAATGGTGAGTACGTTATATAAATCTGAATAATAAAATAAAATTTTTTTAAAGAGTCCTCACCATTACTCGTTAAACTCGCTCCACTGGCTTTTCACATATGAGGCAATATGCCAGGGAGTCCTTTGGCGACAGAAATACAGGTGAGTCGCCAGCATTACGCGAATAAAATTAAATATATCAGGAAATATGAAAAATTCAACAAAAATTTAAAATATCTTAGTTTTTAAGATTTTAAACACAATAACTAGAAATTGAAAAGGCATATGAGTAAATAATTAATACCTTATTTAATTAGTGCAGTTAAAATTAAATTAATCAGTACCTCCCTGATTCATTTCATATTTAACCATCTTTTCATTAATTGTGATGTGATAAACCATGATAAATCATAAAATATGGGAAATATATCTAGGAAATGGGAAATGAAAGCAAAATCTTAGTTCACCATTCTGGTTGCAGAGCCATATCTTGTTTCTACGGATAGCAAGTAAATAACTCCCATTCTTAATCACTGACAGGTAAGTAAACATTACTGCTTATTATGAAATTTCAGCTGATAGTAGAAACCTATAATTTTTTATTAGTACATACCTTTTATCAGCAACTTTCTTATCAATAAGACGAAGAAAGTTTCATTCTCATAATTAATAAAGCTAGCCAAATCAGAAGTGATATATGCCACTAGGAGATTTGATAAAAATAATATGCACACTGATAATGGTGATAACAATCAGAAATATTTAATTAATTTTGATAAAATTTTTAGCGGAATTTCTTTAAAATTTTCCACTATTTAATCCACTATTCCACATTTATTAAGAAAAATCTGCTATAATTATTAGAAAATATATTTTTTAAAAGAAATCATCAATAAATCAATCATTAACAAACAAAAATTTATATTTTTCTTGTATTATTGTATATTTTTCAAGGTTATTCTATTCTATTCTATTCATTTCACATTAATTTCACTTTCTCTCAAATTATTTTCTCAATTTATTTTCTCAATCAATCAATCAAACCCGACAAATCAAATCAATCAATCAATCGAATTGGAAATTAGATCAATCAATCAATAAGATTAGCAAATCAGAACAATCAATCAATCAGATCAGCAAATCAGCAAACAAATAAATTCATTTTCACATATTTTTACTCATTTAATCAATAATTATTCTGTTCATATTAGTGCTTTAATTGAAATATTGTTTAATTAAATATTTTAAATTAGATAAATTTAAATTCATTTTCCAATTTTATGAAATAAATCGCTATGAAAACAAAAAGGAACGAAAGAAAGGAATACAGAAAAATTTTTAATTTCGATATTTAAAAAACTTCAACTTAAATGAATGTTTCATTGTCGATTTGAATCAATTTGAAAAGAATTCCATATGAAATTTCGCTTTTCAATAAATAATTGTTTAAATATTTTTTATTATTTTTTGAATATTTTTTATTTTGAATTAATAAATATAAATAAAATTTCGATCATATACGCATTTTTAAAAAATTTAAATCTAAATCAAATGAAACAAAATGCATAAAAATATTTCTTAGCTAAATTTAAACTGTGCTTATAAATGAATCAGTCAATGCAAGAAAAAGAAAAAATAAATCAGTGATAAAAAAATCAAATTTAGAATCGATCCGAATGATCTGAAACATTCATTTCGTTCAGCGAATCACTAATAATTAACTAAACTATTCTAAATTTGGTTGGGGTTGATTTAAGTAAATCAAACGTAGATCAATTAAATGCAACCACTCACCACAGTAGAAACAGAAATAGCAATCGCACTTTGAAAATTTCTCGTAAAAATTCAATTAATCCAAGGAAATCAAATATGACCTATATAATTCTATTGTAAAGGTCAAATAATGTTGTTTTAATGAAAAATAAAACATGAAATGAAGTGATAAGAGTGATAAGATCATGAATTATTATGATTAGCTATTAAATTATGTAATCTAATAATATAATCCAAGTATTAAAGCGATCAATAAGCTATTTACTTGATCTAGCAAATTTTCTAGATCAATAAATCAATTTTCGGATAAAGATAACGAATAGATATTTGAGAAAATCGATACTTAATAATGATCGATGCCAGAGGCAAGCAAGCGTCAGCAAGCGGCTTCCTCGTCCAATCGACCGACAAACGAATGATTCGTCGTTGTCGAAGTCGATAAAGGAGAAATCTATCGAACGACTCGAGTTCTTACCCTAAGCAAATAATCAATATCGAAATGGGAGGTTCTGCTCCTATACGATTACTGCTTAGGCTCATCAAGGCGACAACGATCGATCCAATCCAAGGAAAACGATCCATAAACGATCGAAATCATGCATCACTTCTATCTTAAATCACTAAAAAATTTCATCATACGGTATGTACGGTATTCTATAATAATTATTGATCGAATAAAAATGATAAATGATTACTGTAGGCCGAAAATTCAAACAACTAAAACCGAAAACAAACCGTTGAAAGCTCAATTTCATTTCTCTAACTCTAAGCTCAAATCTCTAAGGTCAATTCGATTAAATCACCTCAGTAAAGCAAATATTCAAAATGCAATGTTGCATATTATAAATTTTGCAAAATAAATTGTAATCTAATTAGATATTAAAATGAAATATTATGAGATTATTACAGTAGAAAGTGAGCCAAAATCACTAAATTCATATTTTACTATTAAAATTATTAAATTAAAATCAAAATTATTAAAATTAAAATCATTAAAATAGAAACCATTAGAACTGCTATTAGTAAAATTATTAAAATTAATTAATAAACTAAAATTATTAAAATCAAAAAAATTTAATGCCAAAAAAGAAGAAAAAAAGATTAGTTTTGCAATTATTAGAATATTTTGCAAATTTTAATATTCTAAAATATTTCAACCGTGAGCGATTGAATTTCATTTTTAATAAAAGGTCAAATGCAGAATTTAAGTGCTTTAATATTGCTGAAATAATATGAGATTAATTTACCAAATATTAATGGTTAGTTTTATGATAACTCCTTATCACTCTTCAATTTTCCAACTTCTAATCATTTATGATCCGTTAGTGAATTATAGTGATGGCTATTATAGTGATGAGAAACCTTCGACATTTGAGAAGTACACTTGGACCATTAACGACATATATTCACTCTGATTAAAAAATAAAGGTCGAACTCATTATACTTGACCCTAAACTAATATAAACATTTGGCGCTTTTTCTCATATCACCATCTTAACAATAATAACAATAACAAAGTTTTTAAAAAAAATGAATAATAAAAAATAATTAATAACAATAATAAAAAACACGATCTAATAAAAAGTAATAAAAATAATAATGCAAAAATTTTACAAATCATATTTAATTATATTGAAATTATATATTACAAATGAATTACATTTCTGATTTATATTTTTAAAACAGTTAAAAATTATTAGAAACTTCCTTATTGATAAGAATAATGATAACTTTTGATAATATTATAAAATTATTTTCGATCAAATGATAATAGAAATTATTATTATTTAAGCAAATAGCAAATACTATTTAAACTTAAACAATTTAATTTATGGCTAATTTACTGTTTCAATTTACGGTTAAGCGACAACAACCAGGAGGACAAAAGTAGTAGGAAAGGATTTAAAGCCTTGAATTATAGCCAAATAGTTTGGAATTTGTTATATCTGTTATTTAATCAGAACTTTGGTTCATGCACTGCTCTCCACCTGCTTATATTTTTATTTGAGCTCTTTTAGCAAAATGATAACACCCTAATATTTAATGGAACCAGCTGATAATGATAATCATTTTAGAAATGATCTACAATAATATGTAGCATTTATTGCCTGGCAAAGATATCGAAAATATACCTGGTAATTGAGTTAATGATCGACATATATCAATAATAACAGTTTCAATAGTTTTATTTTGTAATGTAAGACGATCAACTTCTGATTGAAATGCTCTTATCAGTGGTAATGCAGCTTTACGAATTGTCTAAAAATTTGCAACAAATATTCAGAAAAAACACCTAAATATTCATTTTTTTATATTACGGATATATATGTAGGATATATATGTTACTATGGAAATCAATCAAGTCAGTTCATCTACATATATATATATATAAAACCTCTGGATTCAGAGGATTCAAGGCTGAGAAAGACTCATAACATTCACGAAGAGGTATGGAGGTGGGGGGAGGGGGAGAGGAGGAAAGGCGAAGGGGAATTTATATATGTGTATATATTCATATAGTTGCAATGTATTTCGTGCACATGCACATTAAAATTCTAAATTAAGGTATTAGGAAAAAAGATATGAGAATTGATCAATCACTGGAAAAATAAAATTTTTTTTTTTCATGAATAAATATTTTTTCAAATAGAAAATCGAATAATTGTTATTATTTTAACAAAAATTAAGAAAAAAAAATTCAGAAATTAGAAAATTTTAATTAATATTTACAATAAAACTTTAATATTTATAACAAAAATTCATTCATTCTATAATTTATGTATCAACAAATAATTGAGAAATCATGAAAAAAAATCAGTAAATATTATTTTCTATTTTTTCAAAATTTTGCCATAAATTTTAGAAAAAAGATTAAAATTTTCAAAAAGTAGCATTGCATCAATACATCAATATATCAATAAATATATGATCAATACATAGTAGTTTTTTATGAAAATTTCATTATTTACTAGTTAGTTGGCCTAAAGCTAAATCCAAATTATGCTTGTGCCCAAGTTTTGCCCAGGCTTAGGCTATTTATTTAAGATCAGATTAATTCATCATCTTATTCATAATTAATTGCCAACTTTACTGCCAAATTTCATATCATATAAAATTCCAGTATTTAATGGCCCTTAATAGAAAATTAATGATAGTCTGTAAAATTCTATTTTTTATGAAAATCAGCGAAATAGAAAATTTATCTATAACTAAACCAATATGCGACAAAAAAGAATAATTTATGAAAAATCGACTAATGCAAAAAAACTATTTGAACTTTGACCATTTTTTATGTAGAATATTAAGAGATTAAATGCTCATATAGAACCCTAAAAAAATTTTAGCTTTAACAGATTAAAGAACAATGTGATTAAATAATAAGATTATCTTACTAATTTTTTTTTTCGAGAAACATGCAATTTTTATGAGATAAAAAAAATGATAAGAATGATAAAAAATGATAAAAAAATGATAAAAAATAAGATAAAAAACTATTTCAACTCTGACCTTTTTTTGTGTAGAATATTAAGAAACCAAATGCACATATAGATCTCTTATAAATTTTTAGCTTTAACTGATTAAATAACAATTTGATTAAATAATGAAGTTACCTTATCAGTGTTTTCACGAAATGACGTGCTAACTTCTATAAGATATTTCTTTGCATTTTCTGATTCATCTTGACGACCACCAATTGCTTTTACTTCTTCATCAAGTCGTATCTAAATAAAAAAATGCTGTTGCATTCCTGTGTTATGATAATAATAATAATTCTTATTATTATTATTATATTATCAATGATAAGTTTGCTGTTAAATTTGATAATAAAGGTTGCTGATTGTTGGAGGATCGATTAGCACCGTGATAAGGAAGTTTGTCTTGTGAAAGTACTAATAAATTTACAATATTACTGTATTATTACAAATTGCATAATAAACCTCTCGATCTCCTCATTTTGCTTATTCTTCTTCATTATCTCAATTATTTAAAAAATTTATAGGAAAAATTTAAAAATTTCTTTAATAAAATGATTTTTAAAAAGTAATATTGACAATAAATAATTGATAATAAATAATATTGATAATCAAAATATAATAGCAATGATAATAACAAAAAATATTAATAAATAATGATAAATAATAAAAATAATGATAATAATCGATTAAAATTTAGTATTTCTTATATTGATTTATAAATCGATATTGCAGTGTGAGATCAATATTTTCTGGAGTAAGATCAATATAAAAAGCCCTCAAGCGATAATAATCAATTTTTGGATATCGATAAAATGATTCCTATAAAATTGGTTTATTGAAATCGAATAAATTATAAATCCATCTTCCAAAAATCCGATTGGGAAAGGGGATGTGATAGTGACGACTCATAAGTGGGAAGGGGGAATAGAGGATATGAGTACAGGGAGACGATGTAAGTGATAACGACTACTTCCATTAAAGTAAAAAGTGTGATTTTATGGGGTTAAGTACCGTATGGAAATTTGAGGGAAATATCGACACTATGGTACCTATGGTACTTAAGATTTTATAAAATCCTTCTTCTATTCAAACTAAACCGCTATATTAATTGTGCAATTTTTTCCTATATTCCCTGTTCTTTAATTATTACATTTATTCCATAAAAATTCCTTTTTCAAATATTTTGCTTTATTTTTTTGCTTTCCTTTGCAAATATACCAAATTAAAAAAGCGTCGAATAGAAAAGAGTTAAATCAGTAAAAGACTGACGATTATTAATACTGATATTAATCTTAAATCTCTCTAAACCAAATCTGAGAACTCCTGGGAAGGTCTGAGAAAAGGTACTACGTTATGTGAATCTTCTAGCAGAAGAGTGGCGTAATACGCTGCAAGGTTCGTACTAGAAAAACGGCACACTTCATATGTGATGAACGCATGAGGGTTTCACTAGTATCAGACGTGCATATATGAAGTGTTGGAAGGAGATCCTCGTACCGGCTGTGCTTAGTGCAATAACCAGGCAAACACAATTCAGACTACTCTCTTGGGAAAAAATATTATATAATTATTACAATATAATACAATACAGCATTTATGAAAAATTACATTACAATATAATATTTAATTTATATCAATTTAATCTATTTAATTTTCATATAATCCAATAATTACAAAAAATTATATAACAATATAAGATTTAATTTAAAATTTTTGTATAATAAAAAATTATAAAATAAAATAATTATAAAAAATTATATAACAATATAATATAATCTTTTTTTTAAGAATCCCCACTATTACTGATTAGACTCGCTCCGCTGGTTTGTCGCACTGGATAAATCACTGTTGCCAGGGATAGAATGACAGGTGAGTCGTCAACATTACCAGCATACAGGTTTACTCCTGCAGGGAATCGAACATCGACGCTTAGAACTGAACAATAACCCACTGAGCCATTCTATCCCAATGTATAATGTATATAATGTATAATATTTAATAATCGCATATTTAATTTCTAATTTTTATATAATATCGAGGGATGGATCAGTGGGTTGTTGATCAATCGAGAGCGTCGATGCTGAGGTTCGATTCCCCGCACGAGTAAACCTGTACAAAAATGCGGGTGATGCTGGCGAATCACCTGTATTTCTATCGCCAAGGAACTCCCTGGCATGTTGCCCAATACGACAATCCAGTGGAGCGAGTTTGATCAATAATGGCGAGGACTCTTAAAATAAAAATATAATAACATAAAAATTATATAGTAATATAATGATTATAAAAATTACAATTGTATTTTAAAAAATAAAACTATATAAGAAATAGGAAAAAAATTCGAATCAAATATTACCAATAATGAAATTTAAAACTGCCATTCTTCAATAATCTTTAATTCCTCAATGAATAAAAGATGATTAAAATAATTTTTTAAAATAATTCAATATAAATCTGGAAAAAGGTTAAATAAAGATGAATATTCGTTTTTTTTACTTCCAAATTAAACAATTTTTCAAAATTTTGAGAATTTTCTTTCAAAAAAATTATTAATTTTTATGTAAAATTTCTATAAAATTAGCACTTTTTAAAATGTTATTTCAGAATTTTTAATAAATATTATAGTAATCATAGTTATCATAGTTTGCATAGTCTCATAAGAAAAAAAAAAAAATCATAGTTTTATGAGAAAAAAATAAATAATTTATAGGAAAATCATTAAGAATATGTGATAGATGATAAATAATTTCATCGTCGTCCATCAACATAGGAGTTGACGCATATTTCGTTATTTTACTAAATCTTGTAATGAATGTGGCAACAAATGTGAGGACCGCGCTAATCAAGATGTGGACTGATATAATCGGGAAGGATTTCTGAACATTAGCTGCACCAGCGATATATAGACTTGGACGACGGAAAAAGGAATGGCTTCTATTAGGCTGACGATGGTATCTGATCGTTTGGAAACACTTTATCCTTGTAGCCATTGGATCCATCCTGACCAGTAACAGTTGGACTGATTATATATGTAATTCTTTCTAATCATTTTAATTAAAATCAATTAAGTAAACAATTTATTAATTATTACCTGTAAATTATCCCAATCGATTCTTCGCCAAGATTCTTCGCCAACTTTTTGCTATTTTTTTCACTAAATTTATGTCCATTTTCTTTTTTTGTTATTTAATTTATGAAAATAACTGAAATCATTTCATTCATTTAATTTTAAATGAATCATTTTCAATAAGAATAATAATAATTATTATTATTAAATGAAATGAAAATGAAAATTAAATGAAAATTATACAAAATCTATAAATTAAAAAAAGGAAAATTGAATGAAAAAAGAAAAAAAAGTCCAATTCAATCAGTAAAAATACTAATATAATTTTTTTATAAAGGAATTTTTTCTAAAATATTTAATCACTGCCACCCAGAACTTAAAAGGCTTAGTGGATTAAGGCTTGATTCTCTCGTTTCGAAGACCCCACAGAAGAGTTCGGTTCCAAGAAGTGTTGAAATCTTATCCTTAACAATTTGTATTAATTTAATGCCTTTAATGCCTTCCTCAAGATTTCCACTTTATATTTGTGATTTATACATGAATATTTCGTGAACTAGAAGAAAACTATTCGCATACGATACAAAAACACTGAAAAATCATTTTCAAATTATAAAAAATATTAAATATAAAATATAAAGTCAAGAAAAACCATTAACAAGCGTTTGATATATTCAAAAACAAATATAATAAATAAAAATAGAGAAATTTAATAATTACGTATTTTATATTTATTTTTAAAATATTTATTATTTTTCTATATTTTCTTCGACGTTTCAAGAAAATAAATAAAAAATAAATAAATAATTTAAAATTTTTAAACTTCAAATATAAAAATATATATATGTATATATGCAAATTTATATATAAAATATATAATACAATATATATAAAATATATATACAAAGTTGTATTAATGAAAAAATTTTTTTAAAAAAATATTGAAATATTTTAAAACGCCTTCATCTCGTTTAAGTTCAAGCCTGATGGAATGAATGGTCGTATGATGGACGAGTGAATGGATATGAGACGATCAAATAAATGGATATAGAATGGATGGACAAATGAATGGACAGATGAAGGACGAATGGATGGACATGTGAAAGACAAAAGAATGGACATGTGATGAACGTATTGACCGATATGTGAACAGAAAAATGTGCGGACATGTGACGGACAAATGAATGGATAGCACCTCTTCACGAAATTAAATAATAGTTTATCACTAATTATCATCAACTATTGTTAATAATAAAAATAATAATAATAAAAATAAATTTTAAAATAAAACCCTTTGAAAATCATCTGAATTTGTCGATCATAATCTATTGATTCGTCGTTCTAATTTAATCGATAGTTTTCAACAAATATTGAGCTAAAAATATAATATCGATTAACAATTAATTGAATAATAAAAAAAAAACAAGTTCAATATAAAAATAAATTCGCACAGATAAAAAATTTAAAATTTAATAAATTTTTTTTATATAAAATAAATTTTCGATTAAATTCTCTTTTTCTTTTTTTTCTTATAAAAATATTATAAAAAATTTGAGATATTTAGAAAATTCTAAGAAAAAAATTAAAGAAATCTGAAACATTCGATCATCGTTGTCGTTCGTCGTTCGAAACAACTAAATTTGCCAATATTAACGAGAAAATTGGCTACGTTTTTAAATATTATTCCATCTGTGTAAATGAATTTTTTAAATTTAGCCATTGTTTCACCAAATATTATATTTTGCGTTTTTAATATGACAATTTCTTCAAAAATATTATTTTATAGAAACTATGTTTTGTTGATTTAAAATCTGCAAAAATTTCTAAAATATTGAAAAAATAATTGAATGCCACGATTAGAACAAAACAAAACTGGCTTATTTCCTAATAATAATACTAAAAATATTTTTTTTTTTTTATTTCATGATTTGTGCCCGCTAAATATATCAATAAAATATGAGACACAACGGCATATTAATACTTTAATCCATAAAAAAATTATACTTGGACATGAGGACATCAAGTTGAGGAAGAAATTTCAAAACAAGGAAATGATTAATGTTAATAAAGAGAATTCAAGTTCTTTTCGAATTTTTGTAAAATTAAATATTAAAAAATAAAATAGTATCCCAAAATTTTAAATAATTCTAATTTATAACTCTAATTTATATCAACATTGAAACAAAAAAATTCCTATTTTCAAGAAATCCCAAATGGATGCAAAGACTAAAAAAATTTAATAAATACCCTATAAACTAATGACTATCGAATCGTGCAAACATATTGTTAAAACACATAAATTTCACATATATATAAATTGCCTTCGTTAAGCAGCATCGAAGATTTGTGCGCACCAATCTCTGAATCTACGATAATCCTTACGCAAATGATAATTCTCAGGAAGTTCAGATAGAACCATCTTGGCTTCTTCTTTATAATTTCGAATTTGATAATCTGCAAAAGATCTCATCGTCATAACATTTTTCTCATTATTTAACATTTTTCTCATTATTTATCAAGTTCAAATTTTTTATCGAAAATTTTTTAAACAATAACTGGAAAAATAAAAATATAAAAGAAACTGATCCTAAATAAAATAATATAAGAAAATCTAAATTTGAATCTAAATAAGTGGTTTTCAATCCGATTTTTATCAATTTATTTAAAATTTATTTTTTATTAGAATCAGTTTGAATATAAACAAAGATAAAAAATACCCGGTTTGGGTTGCATCGAATCATGCACATGCAACTTGCTAAAATAACCGATTTGAGGGCGATCTATATTCATTTTTTCGCTAATACATTGGTCAGTAAATCGCTGTTCTTCTCGACATCTATAATAATAAATTTATACCACTTCAGTACATGAAACAATAAATCACTGAAAAAAAATATATTATAAATTGGGAAATATTCATAATTTTTAGAAAATCTTGGTAGAATAGCAAAAAAGGATAATTACTTGGATACATATAGCTTTGCACTTCCATGATCGATGCAATTAGCGAAATTATCGATTTCAGAATTGCAAGTTTTTTTAAGCTTTTGTAAAAATCTTATACCGCATGCTGTTACGGCAGCTCCTTCATTCAGCGTTTTACGAGGATCTTCTAATTCTCGCCTGCGTAACATAAATTCCTAAACAAAATTATTATAAAACTTCCTCAAACATCAATCCGTTCGAAAATTAAATGAAAAAAACGGCCAAGGCAAAGAAACAAAAATATATCTTTAATGTAACAAACTAATTATTATAAAATATTACATTTGTTTAGCGTCGTCTCAAAACATTTTTTAGATTTAATATTAAATATGCATTCAGCCTGAATATAGATCAACTTCAAAGAATTTTTTGCATATATCTGTCTGACCGGTCTGAAGTATTCATTATCGTACTGTGACTAAGCGAAAGAACTATTTACCTTTGAACACAGAGAGGTTGATGCTCCGAACTACTTCCCAGAGTTTGGAGTACGATTATTGGGGTTTATGCTCTCGGCAGGAGCAAACCTGTCCGAGAATCGGGACGACGTTGGCCTGTATTTCGTCGCCACAGGATTTCCATGTTTGAAGATGAACTAGCTTCGATTTTATAAAGGCTTCATCAGATGGAGAAAAAATTCTAACTGCTACAAACCAGGCTAGTATTTCGTCTTTCGCTTGGCCATTTGGTATAAGAGTAAACTCAGTATGCTTGATACTTAAATCTAGTACTTCAACTCAATTGCTTATGAATTTTAAATAAGCACTATCTGGAAATTACCTTCTTATTGTGGTTACAATTTTTTTATATTTAATTTATACTTATTTAACTTTTCCTATATATATTATATATTAATATATATTAAATTTTGGTAATTCAAGCTTAACGCTATTACTTGAAACAAATGAGCATCAAAATTACCCCTGTGGATTCCTTGGTTTATGGTGATTATGGCGTGGGAACCTAGTTCCAATTTTACCCAATGCAGTAAACCATTTTTCGTGATTATCATTAATTGAAAAACCCTTTGGTGAAAAATTTATTTAATAAAATAAAATTTTAAGATTCTAAAATTTGAAAATACAATTTGGGATGCACAGATTTTTATGGCATTATTCAGAAAATTATCATAGAAAAAATTCTGATGATCACTGAATTAAACATATTAATAATTCAATAATTTGTAGTAATAATAAGTAAAAATAATAAAGAAAATAAGTCTTAATAAAAAAACAATTTAAAAAAGCAACCTTAATTTCATTTTCACACATAACATGCATATACGGAGCGACTGCTTTAAAATATGGAGTTGAAAGAGTAATCTCATGAGGAACCGTTAATTCCTCGTCTGACGGCATCTGCACATCGTTCGTTATTGCCATTTTTCATATAATATAATTCTTTTCTAAAAAAAAATAAAAAAATTTTAGAAACAACAAATCAAAATATTCAAAAACCTTTGACGAATGAATAAAAAATTTCTATAAATTATTTCTGGTTAGGCTCGCCTCGTTGGCCTCATTGCATCACATCAGAAGAGCCAATTAGCGATTGAAATGCAAGTAAATCGCCAGAATTATCCAAATTTTAGAAAGATATAGATTTATTCCTGTCTTAAAAGTAGAACACTAATGTTGCTTTTCAGTTTAGACTATTGAAATTCGAAAAAGGATTTTTAATCGAATAACCTAATTAAATGAAGAAAAGAAGCGGATAAAACTGAAATTATTGCAGACGAGGAAAAATATTAGTTTATGATGATTAGTTCGTGAAGTAATAAAAGTCTGAAAAATATACATTTTATATAAAAACGAACACCTTGCATCCACTCTTATACGAAATAACGAAAGAATAAATAACGAAATTCGCCGTCTAAAACGATCAGTCATCATGAAATTAACATGAAGTTTCGTTTTCAATCTAAACAAGATAAGATAAACACATACAAGCAAATCTTTGGTACCATACCTTTCTAAATAACAAGTCCTGTGATGGATACCAAAAAAAAGGTAAAGAAGCCAAATCAAGATGTGGTCTGATAGAACATGACGAGAATAGAAAACACACAAAGGGTGCCATTTAAATATAAACATAGAGAATAGAGCAACGCTTTGCTCCTTACAGATATGGTACCAGGTCAAGAGGTTTTTGCTTGAAAAACATTTTTAAAAGATAACGAGCTTTTTCGATTTAATAATAATTCTCAAAGTTGTCGTTTAATTATAGAAAGGATTTACATTCCCTAGTCAAACTTCTTGACAAAAGTTTGCAGCGAAAACAACCTCCCCAATCCTAAGTAATAAACGATGGGACAAAACCAAAGTACCACAAAACCCCTCCCTTAAAAATTGCTAAAATAAGTAAATTAAATGAACGAAAACTTCCCAAAACAGGATAATTTTGTGCTTCAAAATTTCACTTCTATGATAATCAAAAGAGATTTTATGCTGTGGCGCGAAATCAAAATGGATTTATTTTCTGTTTCAATGACTAAGGATAACGTAAGGTTAATTAATTAATCGAGAGGGGCCAATGGTGTGAATGATTATATGAAAAAAAATTAGAAACAAAAACTGGCCAAATCATGAAAATTCGATAGTTATAATCAGATTAGATTGCGATAAGCGTTTATCATTGATAAATATGCAATGGAAAACTAAAAAATCTTAGTAAAGAAGAAAATTTTCTGGTAAATCTGCGAATGCAATTTTCAAATTTCTGTTCATAATTTTATTTTGGCACTTGCTTCTTATCAGTTTATCAGTTATCGATGTCGATAACAAATCTCTCTTAAATTTTATAAAATTCGATCAATTTATTTAATTTTTAATTTTTTAATTTTAATTTAATTTAATGTAATCAATTTAATTTTAATTCTATTGTGTAAATAAATTATCAGTGCTAATTTAATTGCTTCTAATTAGGTTAATTTTGCTAATGAATTTCTAATGAATTTGAATTCTTATTTTGCTAGCTATTAAATAATTAATATCTAAAAAATCGTCAGGTCGATTGTCAAAATATTGCTCGCAAGTACCACTCGATGTACCACTCGATTTTTTGAATGACGTGGCGATCAATCACTCAATACTATCGTATTTCTACACGATAATTCAATCCACTCGATTATCCTAGCCATGCATTAGCATCGTAAAATATTTAAAAACTGGTAATATTTTTTAAATAAATTGGTAATCGTAAAAAAAAACCAAAAACTGGTAATATTATTTTCATTTTTTTACTATAAATTTCATTTATTCAATTATTTATTCATTATTCAATTATATTTTTTCTGCGCAGTAAAAAAATTAGAAGTAAAAAGTAATTTTAAAAAACAGCTAAAAAAATTAAAAGTTTTTAGATTAATTAGATTTAGATTTTTTAGATTTTTAATTTTTTTTAGTTTTTCGAATGTAAAGTTTTTAGTTTTTTTTATAGTTTTTAAATTAAAAGCTAAATTTTTTTTTTAGAGAAAAATTTTAAATATTTTGAAGGCCAATAATGCCAATAGAAAATTTGTTTTATGAACATTACGAAATTTATCGGATTTGATTTGGAAAAAGTTGCTAACAGATTTGGTGAATTTATTGGCTTTTATTTGGCTTAATTTGGTGAATTTATTGGCTTTTGCTTGGTTTAATTTGGTGAATTTATTGGTTTTTGTTTGGTTTAATTTAGTGAATTTATTGCTTCGAGGAATTTTTATTATGATTATCTAAATGTATTTTTCCTTTTTAACTAGTGAAATTGCTTTTTTTTTTAGATAAATTTCTAGAATTTTCATTTGGGGCTGATATTATTATTAAATATTTAATAGCACAAATTTGATAGAGAAATTTTTTTTTTAGCACAGTCTGGTATTTCAGTGGGTTTTTGATAGAATAAAATGAGCTTATTGCCAGAGAGCCATGCGTCCATATAAATGACCTAATGAAGATAGCCACATCAGAGATGGTGCGTACTATCTGGAAGAGAGATGCCGCTAATTTATCCATCAATTCAATTCAGTTGATTTGCTACTATTTTATCAAATTTGTAGTATTAAGTAGGAGATTTTCATATATTGTCAATCAAGAAAAATTACTAATGTGGAAATTTTTTCCACAATTTTTTTTATATTTTATTTTATTTGATATTAGATTCTTTTCTTTTTCAGATTTCTACAGATTTTTTTTATAGATTTATCAATTTTCTGTGGAATTTTTCAGATTTTTATTGATTAATTTATTAATTTAAATGGTTTTAATTTTAATTTTATTCCAAATTTTCTTATTATAATAAGAAATTTATTATTAAAATAATTATTATTGAAAATAACTTCCGAAATTACTATAAAATTTTTATATTTTATTATTGTTTGTCTTTATAATATGAAGAGAGGTGACAATTCATGAGATTTTGACCAACTTTTTCGAGTCGTCAGCCATTCTCTTCCGTATTTTTATTATTATTGCTCGTTGCAGAAACATAAATATTTCCACTATCGTCGTTGTTTATAACAAATGCAACGTTTTAATCTATAAGAAATTATTTTAATATTTATTTTAATATTATTTGAAATTATAATTTATTTTTTATTAATTTTTTAATAATTTTTATTATTTATTTTTTTGCATTATTATAAAATATTGAATAAAATGCAATAATAAAATGTAATTAATTTTATTTTTTACATTTTTTTCTTTACAATCTATTTTATTAAAAATTTATTGAAAATTAAAAGTATCATGGAAATGGTCAAAAAAGAAAAAAAGATTAGCGATTAAAGATATAAAAGTTCATTGACAATACGAAAATTATCCATGAAATTTAGGTCAGTGAAGTCTCAACATTATTATTATTATTATATTCATTTATTATTCACCTAAATTTTCCAAAAATTTTTCTACATTTATTTCAAGCGCTTGTTTATTTATTAAATATTTTATATATGCATAAAATATTTAGAAATTTCGTTATTTTAGAAATTTTTTTTTCTTAGATTTTTTGGATGCAAAATAAAATGATCTTTTTTTTCTGCAGAAATTTTTCATGCCTAATTTGCCTAACATGCAACATTCTCATACCTAATATGTAATTTCTGTTAAAACGAATCATGCATGCGAAAAAACCCTTTATATTATTTATAATAATTTGGTTTCAATTTTTTATTGAAAATTTGAATAAATATTTATAATAAAATTTCAAAATTTTTTATATTTTATTTTTCATATTTTTTATTTTGGTTTATTTTTTTTATCACTTTTATATTTTATTATTATTGCTCAAATTTAACCGTAGAGAGATATTATTTATTATTATTATTTATTTATTTATTTGAAAATTTTTAAAAATTTTATTTGCTGTCTTATTTATAGATATATTTAATACTTAAATAAATGATAATGAAATATGGGATGGAATGACTTAGTGGATTGTCGCTCAATTGGGAGCGCCGATGTTGAGGTTCGATTCTCCACAGAAGTAAACCTGTAATTTTTTCATGCCTAATTTGCCTAACATGCAACATGCTCATATCTAAGATGTAACAATATAATTTCCGTTAAAACGAATCATGAATCATGCATGCGAAAAAATCCTTTATATTATTTATAATAATTTGGAAAAATTGAAGTAAACCTACAAAAATTCGGGTAATGCTGGCAACTCACTTATACTCCTATCGCTACGGGACTCTGACATATTTGTCCAATGCGACAAGCCAGTGAAACAAGTTTAACCGGTAATGGTGAGGACTCTTAAAAAAATGATAATTAAATAAACATTTAAAACAAATAACACTAATCAATATCAAATCAAATATAAAATTAGTAAAAATTAAAATTAATGATAATAATAATGATAATAGAGCGAAAAATAAAACTATATTTAATATAAAAAAACTATATTTAATATAAATATAAACTATAATATAAATATAATATAATATAAACTATATTTAATATAAATACAAATTATAAAATAAATATACAAATAATATCAATAATTTAAAATAATTTAGATAATTTACAAAATTATTTTATTTTCATGTCTATCGTAAATTGTAGAATTTTCAAATTAAAATGAAAAATATTTATTCAAATAAATAATAATAAATATGAAAAATATTGAAATATTGGAATGTCGTAATTCTGGTATGAAATTATAAGCGTACATATGCAAATAGGCAGCAAGGCAGGTTTCAAATCAGTGTTTCATTATTTCATTATTTTTCAAAAATTTTCCAACGGTAAAATATATTTGACACAAATTGTAGAGGGAACGATTCACTGACATATGGTATTATTATTATTATATTTTGTTGAGTAATTTATGAGTTAGTTGAGTTGAACGAATCGCTAGCTGATTGATTTGATCGGAAATATCTTTTACTGCCATTATA